CACCACAACTAGGCCCTTGAAAACCGCAGGCCAATGGGATGGTGGAGGAGAAGCAGAACTGCAGGATGCAGCAAATTGGAAAATCAGTCAAACTCGCACTGGACATTGTTCAGACCTATACGCACCTCAGTCCGCATGCCCAAAAGCCCCGCCGACCACATTCAGAAAGAGCGGAAGTCGGCATCCAGACGGCCCTCACCCTGGCGTATTAGGAATTCAGGCCAGTCGTAGGTTATCTAACAACCACCACCTTTAAATAAACTCCAGATCATATACCTAGCACCCTCCTTCAGGTCAGTTACCAGGGCCAGCTACCTGACAAGGGCTTCATTCCTTGCTGTTGCAGTGCCTGGCGTAGACTGCCTAGCAGTCAACGGCCCAAAGCTTCCAATTACAGACCACTTACACATCCACGTTACAATTGCACACACCCTCCCGCTCAGCGTGACACTAGGAATGTGCACATAATGCGCCTGTGATACAACCAGTCACGTCTCCGGACAATACTGGCTCAGCTAGAACAGTAGACGCTCTGGAATGCGATCTCACATACAAACTGAACCTGTTACACTCATCGCATGAAAGCGCAATGAGTGGTTTCCATTTATCACGCGTGTAACGCCGCAGTTCTTCAACGAGTGCAGCTGACTCACGTGAAGAAGAATTAGGAGAGCGGAACTCCGCATCAAGTTCACCTGCACGTCCTACACAGACATTAATTTACCATCCAAACTCTCAGGAATGGCATGCACGGGCTCGCCGAGTGACACCAGTTACTGGTACGTATTCGCATTGGTGAAAGTGATTTCCGTACTTTTTTGTCACGTGGATGCGAGTAGTTGTGTGACATCATGTTTGCTCGTGGTTTCCTAAATGGTCGGAAGCGCCTGCATGGGCTGACAAGTACTGATGCCTGAAAGCGTATACATGATAATGCTGTAAATCAGATTATTTGAATTCCAGTTATGTTTTAATAGTGTAAATGATATGGATAATCGCCATCCGCAGTCAAACAAAAGTTATTGCGGGCGGGTGTAATGCCAGTGGGACAGCGCTGAAGTTGGTAGAAGGGAAGTCTTCTCCCACTAACATTTTACATGTTCGACGCTCTAGTTCGGCTGACCTTGATCGCTGGAATATTTTCTCAGGTAGACATCTGACCGACTGGTGTGAGTGCGATATGCCGAAACGTTGTTTACAACCTGCATAGTTATTGTGGACTGCCGAGATTCCGCATGACTTGTTATGAGAACAGACACGACCTAATCCGCGTTAACTGCTTGTAGGTTGCGTGTAGCGTCATGCACACTAGCCCACATTTGCGGCTACGGCTGTGGCAGCGACTTTATTGGCACTCCGCGCGGTTGATATTCCACCAAAAACTGATCACTTAGACCATAGCGTGGTGGGGCGTTGACACAGAGGCATAATAGCTATGTAATAGGTTCTTAAAAGGCATTACTTTAGGTCCTACATGGTACCACGTCTGTCGGCAGATCGGTACGGAATAGTGAGGGATTATGATTTAAGATGGTATTCGAGGGCTCATCCGTCCCTTTTCGCCCTAAACCTTGAGAACGAAATGCCCTCGGGTAAATAATTGTCACTTAAATCTTACTTCACAAGGGAAGTAGGGACGACTAGAAAGGGATGTAACTTAGTGGAATGTTAGACAACCGTCATCTAACCCAGCACGGCTTTATTAGAGATTTATACAGTTACTCTTCATCGTCTCCATCATCACCTTCGGCAGCCTTACGATCCTTCTTTCGTCGAACTCTTCCAGCTTTGCCTGATGTGCCGGGAGATGTCAGATCGATGTGCTTGGCGGAATCCAAACGTACCATAAAGCTGGGACAATTTACAAGCTGCTTGCGCACTCGGATGTGGCGTTGGCGAATTAGGACACGCGCATGATGGATAGATCGCGCCAGGCCGTGTTTGTATACCAGAGTTTGCAGTCTTCTTTCCAAAAAGTCCTCGATCTTTAGACCGAGAACGAAATCGAGCTTCATTTTATCTTCCGGGAGCACACCGACGCGAACGAGCCGGCGTAGCAAGGCAGAACCTAAAGAATCGAAATAATTTGAATAAGGATTTCATGGGTGCGTCGGAAATATACGGCAGAAACTTACTGGCTGATAGGCATAGTAACAACGTCTGTGGGGAGTCACTGCTTGGCTCCAAAATTAAGCCATGTACGCTCCCAGCACTCTCAATACAATGTTGGCAGAATATATCAGCGTGCCACTGCATTGCATATCGTTAAAAACTGGAAGACTCGCAAGCCTGCTTTACAGTTGCAATAATATAAGATTGTGACACACCGTCGGTCGATGATTGGGCCTATATGCCTTATAACTGCCGCTTGTTCTGTTGCTGCCACTACTTCTGAAGATGGACTCCTGTACGAGTCTGAAAGCTCAGGATAATAAACTGTTCCGGTGTTCGAATCTTCTTCATTACTTAGCAAGTTAGTGGCAATTTACAAAGGGGCCTGAAGGAACTGCTCCTATTAGGGGAAAAGTCGAATGTCAGCGAGCCTGAAGCTGCAGTGCTCTCGCCTGGTTCATTGTAGTCACTTAATACTTCTGAGGCCTTTTTAGTCTACTGAGAGATGTGCACGTGCAGTGGCAACGTGTTTGAGACAAGGGCCCCTGACAGTCGGAAAGGACAATGAATAATGAAACTGGGGTGCCCGCGTACAAAGCTAACCTAGGACGGCCATATGCAATGAAGCGGCTCTTGTGCTCATCCGTCAGAAAACTCCCTATTAACAATTCTGTACGTCATTTGATGGTAAACCAAACAAGCCTTTAGTAACTGGCCGACGTTGACAGAAACCGCACTTGTCTGTGCGTGCATGTAAGCCTCGGGGAGGAGGGAAGCCTAAGTTGGCTCGACAACCGTCAGATCTTGGGAAGATAACTAAACGATGACATGTAGGTCACGAAAACAATACTGGACAGCGCGTGTGCGAAGCCGGGGACTGCAAAACTACCCACTTGTCAGGGTTTTCAATAAGACTCAAAATTGGTTCATGAAAATCGACCCAATGAGCTGTCAGGTAAACAGTCCTGCGTCAAGTTAGCAAGGGAGTAGGCACGAGCCGTTGCAATGGCTTTGCCTGGTCTGTCGAGTTTAATAAATAGATGACCGAGAAAATTGGCATACTGAACAGTAAGCAGTCATAGACATAATATAAAAGTTGAGGATCTACGACTTCACCTTCGAACAGCCGACGAGGATCCCGCTCGTCAAGTGTGAGGAGCTCACGGGCAGCCTTGCGGATTTTTGCGAGAACCAGTTTCACACGCCATACTTCACGTTTATTTCTTAGTCCATACTGACCAATGAGCTTTAATTCGGAATCCAAGCGCTCCTTCTCAAAAGGGCGGCGCGGAGTGGTGTAAGTTTTGCTAAATATCTTCGGCACTCTACTCATCTTAGGTAGAACTAATCACGCCAGTGCAGCAGTGCAAGTCACGCGCAAAAGTGGCCAGTTAAACAGCACTCTACTCATCTTAGGTAGAACTAATCACGCCAGTGCAGCAGTGCAAGTCACGCGCAAAAGTGGCCAGTTAAACAAAGCTTCACAGTGTACAGAGTTCACGTGGTTACCTGTTTAATTCAGTTGGTCGAATGATTCGAAGTCCGTTTTGAAAAAAGTGAGCGTGTTCAAAGATAAAATAATTACTAAAGCATGCTCAGAAAAGGCCTTTGAAGGCGTTTAGTTGGCATGAATACTAACAAGTGGAGACAGTTTTGTTACTCTGCAGCTTCCTTCTGCTGATTCGCCTCGACATACTCCTGGTCTAGTCTGTTATTGTTCCCGCTCTCGCCCCAGAACCCTTCATCTTCACCAGTACCACGTCGGCTTTGGTGTTGAGGCTTGGCGCTGTTTTTGACCCTGTTCGCCAAAATAACTCTCTACTGGGGAATAAATGAGGTCAAAATCAAAAGTTAGAAGACGTTTTATAATCGACAGTGATGCTGAAACCAGCATCATCCCTTCTGGCGCAGAGGGTTGGCGTTACACAACTCTGGCCTTTTCCTCTGGATAATAAATTTCCGTCCGATCCCTACCTCTGAATCCTTCTCTTTCTCCCTGAATACTGGCCACAGGCATCATTTCCGCGGGACCTGAGTGGTGGTTTATGTTCCTGCCCTCATTTGCTAGTTGCATTTCATCTGGTTGATTGCACGAAACTCTGCCTTCATGACTGAGCTACTACCATCTCCTTAGTAGGCTTTCACTCATTGCCAGCTCCCAACCGCCTTCCGTAATCTTGAGTATCAACCATGACAACTCCCTGTGAAGCCTCTCAGGCTTACCAGCCTCTTCCTTTCTTACTCCTTATTGCCTCCTTGACCCTCCTTGGCCCTCTCGTTCTCTCTTATCCATTCTGCCCTGCTCCCGCCCGCCTAATTTCAGCCACAGTTGAATTTCATCACGTGTTGCAATTAGGGATTATAAGGAAGTTTGACAGTCTCTGGGCCTCGTCAATGCAGATGATACCTACGCGGATGACGGATGATTGGAGTCCGTACGGCGATTACGTACCCGAGTAGCATCGCCATCCCCGATTGGTATCAGGCCCCCCATCTTTAGAACTTTGTCGGAGGTTCCCTAGTCAAATCCGTTCTCTCTTTGCTTGACTTCGTTCGAACCACTTTCTTACCGCCTATAATTGCCTAGCATAAACGATTGCAATGACTGCTTTCTGCTTGTCCAAATTTATTTTCATGTCGTTTCATCTCCGAAATGCTTCGCAGGCATTTACTTTTAGTGTCTTATGTGGTCTTCTATTCTTCTCTGCTTGCACCAACAACGTCTTCACCACCTGAAATAATTCTGAGGAATATCTCCCACAGCGGAGCATGCTTTTCGATAGTTTCCAGCAGTTTAGTATAATGCCGCACGCTCATACATACGCCCTAGGCGCAGCCTCTTTCGGGGTCCTACGCCATCAGATTGACTTCATTGCTTTCGTCCACTTCCCTTACCGGTCACTTCTATCCTGAACTTTTCGTCCCCTACGTGCAGGCGCTAGCTACTGTCGCGCCTCGATATTGTGGACGTCTATCACCGATTTATCTCATGCCATGTCAACGCCATCCTCTCATTTAACAGGTTCTCGTCAAATTCCAAGCGTATCTTTGAAATTACACTAGCGACACACCTAATTCCGGTAGGCGAATGCCTTTCTGGCTTTTGCCAATCTCCAGGCTCACTTTCACGCCGACACGCCATCGCTCTTATGGTCAATATTTCCATATTTGTTGTTGGTGCTGTTCTCCACCAACATCCCGCAGATTCTGCCTTGCCGTTGGCTTTCTTCTTAAGGAAACTATCCAGGACCGAGTCTCGTCAAACACATTCGAGTTAAAATTCTTCATTTTCTCGAAAGGTGTGGATTTCGCAATTCCCAGAAACCACTGGCCGTTCGCATTTGCTTTGCGCTCTTTTCAGGGGAAACGAACTTGCGGTAGGTCAGCAGCTTGGAACAAATTTTCCATTCCAGCTCTGATATTCGCCGTATCGACTGCTCAAGGAATGGGGTGGATGGTGCTCTGTCAGGCACTTAATCACCAATCGTCAGCTCTCGCGGTGATGATCTCACTGAGATGACTGTCCAACAATGCAGACCTGTAAAAAGCATGAACGCACGACTCCTGGGACAATAAGTGTACTGATCTGAGCCCTTGGACTCGTTATCCCAAAGAATGAGCGCGCAAAAGTATGCGGCAGTTTTGTGGTCGAACAACGAAGAAAGGATCAGAGGTGAAGGTGGAGGGTTGTGATAGAGATAAGGCTGGGTGCACATGGTATCACGGTGTGCGTCCTTGGCTGGGAACTGGACGACATTTTTGACAAAGTGAGTATGACGCGTGATGGAAGGGGATATATGAAAGTGTTGATTGGGAGAGTGGGTGTCCGACACTCAAATCTCCCCCTCCGTCATATTGCCGGTCTGCGTGATTATCTCCTTGATTGTAAAATTGGGCTCGTAGACTTCGTCTTGGATGTAGGAAACGAGTCGAGACAATGGACCGCCTCTCCGAATTGCCCATTTGTGCTCGCTTTTTCGCCAGCGCTGTCGTCGCCCGGTCTAGCCTGTATAAATACGAGGACGGTCATGACATGGGATCTGGTGAAATACATCAGATTTAATACCTGTGTCCAGTCTATCCATCATCTGCATGATTCTGGCATACATGGTAGCTGTTGGGCGGTGGGCGATACCCACGTCAAAGTCTGCGGCGCTATGCTACATTGCTTCCGACCCATTCCTTATCTACGGCAGAGGGCACGTGAACGTTGGTGGCTTTCTCCCGTTTGTTTCTTCCGGGCGTGTCGGAGGTCAGCTGTTGATGAAAGTGCTTGAGTATCCATTCCTTACTAACTGATTCCACGACTAAGAAGAGGGCTCCAAGACAGCCGCGTTTAAGTACCATCGACTGGTTGCTACGGTAGCTAAGAACCTGAACTTTTTAGTCGCCTTTCTATTTACATGTCGTTAACTTTCGTATTACATCTGTACGTAGCGAGGACGTCAGGGAAATTCAAATGCTCGGCACCCCCTCTTGCCTTATAAACTGAATGTCGGGGAAGATATTGTAAGACCCGGAAAGCAGTTTGTTTTGAAAGGACGAAAAAAGGGCTACTGGACCTCACACTCGATCACCCTCTGGCGCAACATGTGAAGGTACCAACAAGATTTCGAGAGAACCAGAGAGCAAATTGTCTAGACCTAGTTTTCACTAAGGACTTCTCTAATATCGACGAAGTGTATTCCAATGCACCTCTCGGAAAAAGTGACCATACCACGCTATT